GCTCAGGGCAGCAAACTTAAACAAAAATTCACTAAAGAAAATAAAAAAATTGAGGGTGGTGACCTGCAGGAGGCAGCAATCCTGGTTGGCATTGGTGTGAACATCTTCATACTGAATGGGAGGCTGCAACTCCCTCATGTACGTGCTCTTTAATCTAGGGGACTGTTTTTAAACTTGAAGTTGAATTCAGAGATGAAGGGAGAGGGAGAGAGAGAAACATCAATGATGAGAGAGAATTATTGATTGGCTGACTCCTGCACATGCCCTACTGGGGATTGAGCCCGAAACCCAGGTATATGCCCTGACTGGGAATCAAACCATCACCTCCTGGTTCATAGGTCAGTGTTCAACCAATGAGCCACACTGGCTGGGCTGTCATATATTAATTGATCAAAAAGGCATGAGTTTATTTCTGGGCTCTCTATTCTGTTCCATTGATCTATACTGTATGTCTGTTCTTATGCCAGTACCATGCTGTTTTGATTACTATGGCCTTGTAGTGTAATTTGATATCAGGTAGCATGATTCCTCCAACTTCGTTCTTCTTTCTCAAGATTGCTGTAGCTATTCTGGGTCTTTTGTGGTTCCATATAAATTTTTGGACTATTAATTCTAGTTCTGTGAAATATGCCATTGGCATCTTGATAAGAATTGCATCAAGATCTGCTTCAACTTCTCTGAGCCTAATCCCCAATCCCTTCATGTAGAATTAATTGCTCCTTCAATAGTGTTGCCATATAATTTGCTAGACATTTATATTAAAGTATTTAATCAGAGCCCCAAGAGAGAAGGTATAATGGATATGCATCTTTATACTTTTAGTGTCAACTTCAGTAGGAAGGAAATTAACATTTATTTTAGAGCTTGCTATGGTACTAGGCACAGTGTTAGGAACTTTCTTATGTCTATGAGGAAGACATTCATAACTTTTAATGTCAGATTGAAGAGAACAGGGTTTTAGAAATCATTTGCTATTTTTTATAGGAGTATATTTTCTTTGATCAGACGGTGGAAAATATACAACCCATTTTTTGCTTATCTTTCTATCTTGGCTACCAGGAAGCTCACATTTTAATGTAATGTTCAACTGCAGAAATCTACTTCTCCCAAATTCTTGTTATATTTATCCCTTTTCCTTCTATATATGGTTTGTGATCTGTTATTTTTGAACTGTCTTGTCATATGTCTGATTTTATTCCAAGCTGCTCCAAATGCTTTTTAGAAAATGTTAGAAATAAATATTGCATCTAAAAGCAAATTTACAAATATGCTACTAGACTTCATTCAGTCAGAACTTAGAATTATTTCAGCATAATTATAATTGTTGTACTTTACCTCATGTTTTTCAAAAATCATTTCATCAAAAATGTTGATATATATATTATCTTTTATTTTAGATAAACTTGAGAAGCTATAATCTTGTCCTGGTGAGCTATAAATAAGAAAAACTTATTTAGATGCTTAATTTATTTTATAAGAGCATTATTCATAAAGGACTATTAAATCACCTGTGTTCTTTTCTGTTATAACATGTAAACTAAGAAAAAACTATGTGCTTTTAAGACATCTGCTATCTTTCATTAAAGCCAGTACATGCTTTGTTATTTATCTTTTTTATCTCTTAAGGTAACTGAGTGAAGAATAAAAATGTTGAAATGTCAAGCAGAAAGACTTCCTAGTAGAGGCATGCGTTGCAAACAAATTATCTGAAGTATGGTGCATTAAGATTTCCCAACTAGCCTTGGTGGGGTGGCTCAGTTGGAGCATTTGTCTCATACACCAAAAAGTTTGCAGGTTTGATCCCCAATTGGGGCACGTACAGGAGGCAACTGATCTTTCTTCCTCCCCCTCCCCCTCCCCCTCCCCCTCCCCCTCCCCCTCCCCCTCCTTCTCCTTCTTCTTTTCTCTCTCTCTCTCTCTCTCTCTCTCTCTCTCTCTCTCTCTCTCTCTCTCCCCCCCTCTCCCCCCCCCTTTCTCTCTTTCCTAAGCTTATTCTCTTTCCCATATTTATTTTCTCCAACCAGAAACTGGGATAGTGGGGTGCATTTAATTTTTCAAACTGTCTGCGGATGGCTTACTTGATTGGAGAAATTTTTGGAGGTAGCTGAAAGAATAATGTAGTATATCACAAGCACTGAACTTTCACTATCAGCTCCAGCCTGTACATCAAATCTCAATCAAACTTCTGACAGCTCAGAGAAGTTAAATAGCTTGCTCAAGCTAATGTCATCAGCAAGTGACAGAGCCCTCATCTGAACCCAATTAACTGCCTCAAAGGCCAGGATCTTTTCACTATACCAACTGCCACTGACATTATTTGTTGAAGCTTGTTGCTTAAGAAAACAGCTACTATTTCAAAGGATCTCCAATAGCTTGTATAACTTTCTGAGACCTACAGATACACTGACAACTGAAAAATGTTCATTGAGTTTAGAGAATAATTTTAAAGTTGAATGTTCCTTATATTTCTAAGTGATAAGCTGACTTCCTTACCCTGCTCCTTCAAGAGTTTCCTTTCATGTTGCAACATCTAAGACAGGGTAGAAAAGGCAATGCATACTTATTATACTACTAGAGGCCCAGTGCACGAAATTGGTGCATGGGTAGGGTCCCTAGGCGTGGCCGGAGATCAGAGCCGATCGGGGCATTCCTTCATTCCATACCACCCCCTGGTGGTCAGTGCACATCATAGCAAGTGGTCAAACTCCCAAAGGGGACAATTTGCATATTAGCCTTTTATTATATAAGATATTAGCAGAAGAGATGATAACTGTCATCCTCAAGACACTTTGGAGTGTGTCAACTTAGTATGTCCTTTAAATCACTCAAATCCTACACTATCTTGCATTTTGTATTCTATTCAAACTTTCCTCAAATTTCACAATTTCTCCTCCAAAGTAGATCTCACAAAGCTAATTACTATTTATTTATTATTACTATCTACCCCATTTGTACATGATTTTTATTCATTAAAATGTCATGTGGAGAAGAGAATGGAGTATCCAAGGCAATGAAAAATGGTAGTTGAATGACTTTGGCCTAGCTGAACCCTCTGATCTACCTTGTTGTGCTCTAAATGTGTTCTTGGCTTGTTTCATTGCTATAATTTCAAGAATGCAACTACTCTACAGCATTTACTTATAAGTTTATCTTATTGACTATTTCATGTTATCCTAAATCTATTTATTTAATACAGTATATTTCTTCTAACTCTAATGTCTAATACACAAATATTTCTACACATACAACCAAATTTTATCTTTACAAACTTTTAAACCAAAATATACTTTTATATACTAATTACTTAACATAATATTATACAATATAATATATTTATTTCCCTTTCAATTAATACTCCTTTTCACATTCAAACAGTAAGAAAGATCAGGTAAGCAGATATCAGACACAAGGCATAAATACCTAATTTATAGTGTTTACCTCTGGAGGGAGAGAAGGAAGATATAATTAGCATAGAGAAACCTTCAAAAATATTGGTAATATTTACTTTTTAAGATGGAAGGTAGATATACAGGTTTTCATTTTATCATTTTTCCTGAGAACTTATATTTATATATACATCATATATATTAATATCTATGTAAGAGATATTTCATTATTTAAAAGCCTAAAAAGCAAAGCTTATCTCAACCATTATTTTTAATAAATGGCTCAAAAATAATTATTTATTGTTCTTTTTTTAGGAGCTAAGAAAAAATGGACTCCAACTTACACAAAATCTACTTTAATTTCCTCATTCCAGCATGGATGAGATCCACTTGCAGTACTGGTCTGGTATACAGTGTGTTGAAAGGAAACTTCCACAAAAGGGTGTACAGTATCCTGAAATACATAATAAACACTGACTAGATTTTTGTAATATTTTATATAGTTGATAAAAGATAAAAAGCTAAGGAATTACTTGGTTGCTGGTTGAAAACTGGATGGCTTACTTATTCTAGTGTTTCAGATAACTATTATTCACTTACTAGTCATTTATTGGTCCTATTTAATATAGATACTTTTCTAAGATAAATAGCCAGTATGGCTCGGTGGTTAGAGTGTCAGCCCACACATGGAGGGTCTCAGGTTCCATTCCCAGTCAAGGACACATGCCTGGGTTGCAGGTTCAATCCCCATCCCCAGTCAGAGTGCGTGTAGAAGGCAACCAAACAATGTCTCTCTCCCACAATGGTCTCTCTCTCTCCCTTCCTTCCTCCCTCCTTCCCTTCCTTCTACTCTCTTAAAAAAAAAAATCAATGGAAAAAATTTCCTCGGGTGAGAATAAACAAAAAAAATAAATGGAACTTTGCTTTATAGATTTTATAGCTTACTAGAGGCCCGGTGCATGAAATTCATGCACTCAGGAGGGGAGGGTCCCTCAGCCTGACCTGCGCCCTCTTGTAGTCCGAGAGCCTTTGGGGGATGTCCGAGTGACAGTTAGGGAGTGGGCCTAAGCCATCAGTTGGACATCCTTAGTGCTGCCTCAGAGGTGGGAGAGGCTCCCGCCACCACCGCTGAACTTACCATCCGTGAGCCTGGCTTCTGGCTGAGTGGTGCTCCCCTTGCAGGAGCACACTGACCACCAGGGGGCAGCTCCTGCATTAAGCGTCTGCCCCCTGGTAGCCAGTGTGTGTCATAGCGACTGGTCCTTCCGCTGTCAAGCCAAAACCAGCTCTCTGACATCCCCCAAGGGTCCCATATTGTGAGAGGGTGCAGGCCAGGCTGAGAGATCTCACTGGTACATGATCAGGGCTGGGAAGATGCGGGAGGTTGGCCGACTGGGGAGGGACCGCGGGAGGGCCAGTCTGGCCTGTCTTGCTCAGTCCTGATCAGCCGGACCTCAGCAGCAAGTTAACCTACTGGTCAGAGCATCTGCCCCCTGATGGTCAGTGCATGTCATAGTGAGCAGTTGAGCGGCCTTAGCATATCATTAGCATATTATGCTTTGATTGGTTGAACAGCCAACTGGACGACTGGACACTTAGCATATTAGGCTTTTATTACATAAGATTAGGGGAAATAAACAGGTAAATAAATAATTGCAATGAAATGTGAGAAATAAAATAAAAATATATTCCAGATATAATAGTTACTCAGGAGAGGGCATGATTAAATTTCTGGGGGTGAGGACAGGAGCTTCACAGAGAAAACACTGCTTGAGCCTGAGCTTAGAAACATTAAGCAGTAATGTGGCCAATAATACTGAGCTGGGTGGAGGCCACTGCAGGCTAAGGAAAGGGCATGTAATAGGCTTTCTAGAACAGGTGGTAGTCTGATACTGCTGTTGGGTGGAAAGAGATGGGATTTGGCTGACTTGTAGGTAAGGGCCACATCATTACAGATTTTTGTAGGCATTCTAAGGAGCTTGTACTGTATTCTAAAGACCCTGAGAGCAGGGGAGCAAGGAATGAAAGGGTTAGAATTACATTTTATAAAGAGCACCTTCATTGTGTTATGGAAAGTAAACTGGAATCCCAACAGATTAGAGACAGAGAAACCAGTAGCAATTCAGGGCAAGCCATTGGAACTACACTTTATAAAAGTACTAAATACTTAACTCATACAAGATCTCTTCTGAGGCCACTGATTTGATTGTTTCTTTATGTCTGAGGCAAGATATGGATGATATCAGAGAAGTAGATATATCCAAGGGCCTTCTAGAAAAACAATAGAGAGATATCAGTTAGTTTTGGTGGGAGTAGCAGATTTTTGCCTATGCTTATGGACACATATAATCCAGTTACCTGGATTTGACAGTTTGCTTTGATATTCAGATCATAGGTGGTTAGAGCTAAATCCCTGATAATGACTGCTCTAAAGGAGCAGGTCCTAAATGCTGAAATATGGACTGGATCCAGTCTATGATAAAGTTTTCCTCAGCAAAAGGAGAAAAATAAGGCAAATGATACATCGAGATGATATCCTTCCTATTTTTGGTGTTGCAACAGTCTTTCTTTTATGAATTGATGATTATAGGAAATGGTGATGATGTTATGATGTGATTTTACAAGCAGCCTTTGAAATGTGCATTGTTTTGAGAATATCAATTCTATAAATAAATAAGGTTGAATATAAAAATAGGCAAAACATAAAAAGTTTTTAACTATAGATTAGTAGCTTGTTAATTTATACTTGTTGTTCATATGCAAAATTCATAGGATGGGGTAAACATGAGATAAGCAAGTAGAGTGTAGAGCAAGCATGTCAAACTCAGGGCTAACATGGGCCAAATAAACAAGGTTTAAGTTTACGTATGCTGCAAAAAAACAATAGCTTCAATTTTCATAGAAATGTAGGTTTATTTTGATAGAAATATGCTGAATACAAAGGGCTGAAATAAATGAGTAATCGTTAACATAAAATAATAGAACACTTTAATAAAAATTAATATTTTTTTCTTGAACATTAACTTACCAGACACTGAGTAACTGCACAAATTTATATTGGCTGGGCCGTAAAAATATTTGTTGTGGGCCGCATGCGGCCCACAAGTTTGACATGCTTGATGTAGAGCATATAAGTGTGAAATATTGATAGAGAGGTATACTTAATATTCCTGAGGTACCTGGGTACTAAATAGCTACATACGAACCACATACCAGATTAAATAGATAAGAGGCACTCAATATTCAGGGTACACTAAATATACATGAGTAATCAATATTCACGATGCCTTATTTTGGTATCGCTCAATTGTGATACCCACTCTGGCCCCACATATCCTCCACACCAGAAACACAAATAAAGCCCCTGAACACCTGCAGAGAAGATGGGTAAGACCTGATTTTTACAGAAGTCATCTAATATGACAAGTCTAAAACAGACTCTACTTTCTCCAGTGTTTTAATTCCAATACTGAGAGGGGCCAGTGGCAGAGAATAGTGTGGTTGGCAACAGTGGCTTCACAACTCTTCATAATAGGGAATAGAGATAAAAGGCAAGATATACTTCGGGCATCTCAAACTTGTAAAAACTCTTGTTAATACATGGCAATGACAATAAGCTTGCCTATCCAAATGAAGACAAACTTTCACTCAGTTTCTGTATATGGAGCATTAATAAAGTGCAAAGATATACTAATTGGACGGTGTGGAAATTTACATTTAATACAGATCTTTTGTAACCTTAAAAATTGGTGCATATGGCCTTACCTGTGAACTGTTGTTTTCCTGCTGGGAATATTATAAGCCCTCAGGATTCTGACAAGAATCTTAATATCTCCATCACAGATCGTCTGTGCTGCCACTTTTTTCCTTTCTTTCCTCTGAGGCTTTAACTTTCTTTGTCGTTCAACAAGCTTACAAATTGCATGTGTCAACTGGCTAAAGAGTAAACGTGATCAGCCACATATATACAAGATAACTTAGTTTTAAAAGATATCCATTTTTTAAAAATTAATTATTGTAAATAAAACCATTATTGTAAGCCATATTTTCTCCATTGTGGAGAGGAGACAGTTGTTTTAAACTCAAGGAAGAAATCATTTTCTGAGCATAGAGGAGATGTTATGTTCACTCTTATGTTAAGAGGGAATGTGATTGCTCCATGCCCTTTGGGTACATGACCCAACAAGAGACAAGGGCAGGATAGGTAATTCCATGAAACATGATATTCTTTCAGAATTTATTTTTATTATTTTTTTTAAGAATCATTCTCTTAAAAGTGGTTAGAAACTCAGCTTTTCTACATGAATCTGAAAGAGTAGTTACATATGCTGTCAGCCCTGGTAACAAATCCATGAAATTATAGCTCTATGGTCACACCCATTTCCCCCAAAGACTGAAAATAAGACACAATAGATTTCAGCATCCTAAACCAATGAACCCCTTATCGGTAATACCATGAACCTGCAAGTGGCCCCAGTGTGGTTTCCCAGAAGCATTTCTACTCCTGGTGCTGCCCCTGAGTTTCACAGATTGGACAGTATGAGATTGAATTGCTCCAGCCAAAGACCCCCCTGTGGATCACAGCGCTCTCGTAGGGCTGAGGACTCACAGTTTTGAAAGGGATAGGTTATAAGCTTAGTGTGTGGTGCCACCAGCAAGGACTTTTCACTAGCAGTCTCAGGACAGGAAAAATCTTAGGGCAAAATAGGTTTGAAACATAAGTATTTCTTTTCTTTCTTGAGCTAAAAACCATCAATAAGGAGAGCATTAAAAACTAAAATACTGCCCTGGCCGATTTGGCTCAGTGGATGGCGCATCGGCCTGCGGACTGAAGGGTTCTGGGTTCGATTCCAGTCAAGGGCACATGCCTGGGTTGCGGGCTTAATCCCCAATAGGGGGTGTGCAGAAGGCAGCCAATCAATGGTTCTCTCTTATCGTTGATGTTTTTATCTCTCTCTCCCTCTTCCTTCCTCTCTGAAATCAATAAAAGTATGTTTAAAAAAAAGCTATAACATTAAAAAAACTAAAATACTATACAATTGAAAATACATATCGTATCATTATGTCAAGAATGCCATATTAAAATGACCAAATATATTTTAAGTCACCATATTTCATTTCATGTTTTATAATTGCATCTTTTTTTAAAAATGTATTTTATTGATTTTTTACAGAGAGGAAGGGAGAGGGATAGAGAGTTAGAAACATCAATGAGAAAGAAACATCGATCAGCTGCCTCCTGCACACCCCCTACTGGGGATGTGCCCCCAACCAAGTTACATGCCCTTGACCAGAATCGAACCTGGGACACTTCAGTCCACAGGCCGAGGCTCTATCCACTGAGCCAAACCAGTTAGGGCATAACTGCATCTTTTGATATGTAGCTTATTAGTATAAATGTAGAGATCTTATTAGAGGATTTTGAAGGTATTAACTTAAAGCTTTAGATTTCTTACTTAATAATAATTTTTATATGTACCTTGTAGATACAATTTCTTCATAATCAGCTACAATATCTGATAAGTTAAATTTGCTAACTTTGACAATTCTTTTCATTACCATCTTTCTCATCTACAAAAAAAATTAGAATTTAAGAAATGCATAGTTTATAATTTAAGATAAACTATTTACAATACTACTGGTGCCACTATTTTTTCACCCCTTAATTTGTGCAAGCAATGAATGGGAAGGGGGAATAGATAAGTGAAAATATGGTCTGCTTGTTTCCATTATTAAAATCATTCCTACTCTCACATTCATGTCACACCAAAGCAAGTGTGTGTGTTTTTCTACTTTTTTGTCCTTCCATAACCCTTTCATGTCATCTTAAACTCTGTTCTTACCTCTTTTTACACCTATCCTAGCCCAATTTAAGCTCCTTCCTCCCTTTGTCCCCTGAACTGCTGTGATACTACCACATTACTAGTAAAAGTAAAGATTCTGGCAAAATGCTGGTGTATTTCTCAAAATGAACTTTCAGGGTCAAAAAGAGTGCAAAGTTGTTAATGTTCATGTTTAAGTAGAAAAAGTTAGGATATGCACTAATAATGAGTTTGCTGTCCATTGAAGTAACCTCTGCATCAACAATGTAGATCAACAGTGTACACTTACAGATGGTATGTAGCTAACTCTGAAAAGGAAGTGAACAGAACAGATAACCCGTCACTGATCAGAAAGAGGTGATGAGTAAGTAGATTTGTCTGTCTGACTCTCTGGGAAGCCCATAGTACCAAACATCCAGCAGACCAGTTTTCATGAGTAAATGCAAACATTATTATTATTTTGCAGTTGTTACCTTTTTCAGAAAATTGACAGAACTAATCCTTTGGGCGGTAATAGAATTCACATCTGAAAAGGACATATCCTTCTCTACCTGACTTTCATATTCCTAAACAGAGAATTAAGTTAGTTTCACTTCTTGGATGTCATAGTTCAGATATGACATGCTGCAATAAAATGTTAATTATTTATTTCAGTTCATGTGTAGGAGACATTGGCAACATTCTGGCATTAAAAGAGGAAAACATTTCTTTCAGATTCTCCCACTGATAATTAGCTAAAATCAGTTTCTATTTTGTTTGCTTCTAGGATGTGGTCCCTTCATCTTTTAAAAAAAGTAATGATTGAGAAAAATTTGCCAGTATGAAAATGTAAAGATGATTAATAAATATTCTATAAATGTGCTATGGTTATTACAATTGGTTCTTTCTACAGGAATTAGCTCTTACAATCCGCTATCTTAAGACTAGTGATGTACCAGTAAGTGTTTAACAACCAGTTATCTGGAAGTGTGTGTGTGGGGGAGCCCCAATTTGTAGCATGTGCTGATTTATGGTGTAAATATTTCCCCAGCAACCAAATTAAACAAATTTAAAGCAGCCAACATGAAGTCACTGAAGGTGGAGTTGGAAAAAGGTGCACATTAGGCTCTGACAGCTGGTGATGGCCGGCTCCCACACACTACCCCCACATGGCTAAGTCCCCACACCCCCATTTTAAAGTTCCTGAAATTGAGGTGCACTTTATAATCAATGTATACATTTAATGTGGTAGTGTTTCTTTCCCTTATATCCAAAAGTTTCTTTTAAATGTGTGTTACATTTTACGATAGCAAAAATACAGTATTTACATAAATCTAGAATACACCTAAAGGATTTCGGCTTTGAAATACTTTGTTTGAACAACTAAGTTGCAAAGTCAAGCTAAGGACTTTCTGGAATTAGGAGATCTGTACATTTTTAATGTTTAAAGAAAGGGGGGAGGTCTGTCTACTGATTATCAGTTAAAAAAAATTAAGACAGATTTAAAGCAGCAAAACATTAACTTATAAGTTATACTCAAATAGAACCCACATACCTGGAAGGCTGAGTCTGGAATCTCTCTGTCATAAAGGGGTATTTGCTGCAGAGGGAAAATACCTAATTGTCCTGCATTTCTAAGCTGCAATAGCCGGAAACGTTTACTCTTTTTCATTTCCTCTTCAGAAACAAAACTTGATTCTTCTTGCAACTGTTCAAGACGAAAATACTTTGGAATATCCTTCCCTTTATGTTTCATGTACTGTAAAACATAAATAAGAAAAGTCTTGACTTAATATATATTAATTTTTAATTAAAAATTTATTTCAACACATTTTAATGTATAAAAATGTCAAACCACTATATCGTAAACGGAAACTAATATTGTATACTAACTACATTTAAATTTAAAAAATTAAACAATGGAGAAAGGGAAGCCTCTTCAATAAATCTTGTTGGAATAATTGTAAAACCACATGCAAAAGAATGAAAACAGACTGCTTTCTGACGCCATACACAAAAATTAACTCAAATGGATTAAAGACTTGACTATAGGATCTGTGCTGAGTGAAATAAGGCAGACAGAGAAAGACAAATGCCAGCTGATTTCACTTTTATGTGGCATCTGAGAGAAAATCAATATTTCTGTATGCCTGTGATCAATTCAGCACATCAGTTGAGAGGCTCTGATCTAGGGACACTTAATTGCAATAATCTATTTAAGTGTTGCTTTATTCAATAAATGCAAATGGGAGTACAGGGTACATGCAAGGAAGAGTGTTAGTTGCCATAAGAGAGATAAATATTTATTTGCTGTAGTTCCAAAAGGAAGGATAAAACACAGTAATGACTACAGCATAAGGCAGAATGAAATTAGAACCATAACAGTTATAAAAAGAAAAAGAAAAAAAGTTAACAAGAGGGCAAGGAAAGAAAAGCATATGTTTAACTGAGGTTACCAAAGAAATGTTTATCAGATTTGGAGGATGGATAAGATAGCCTCTATGGGTGGCTTTCTAGGCAGAGGGAATAACATGAATAAAGGTGTGAAGAAAGCATTTTGGGGCACATCTATTCATATTTCTATGAACAATTCAGTTGGCTATAAGGAAGAGTAGGGGAAGTGAATATATAATGGAGTCTTTGAGGGAAGTAATGTGTCTGTAAGCCGTCTTTATATACCTAGCATCTAATAATACAGCTGGCACTCCAATAGACATGCAATAGATGCTAGTCTGAAGGTCAGCCTGTAGGATGTGCTATGGGCTGCTTAGTGGCAAAGTACCAACTATTGGGCCTCAAATAGTATTTCAGTGGCTGAATTTCTTATTGCCTTTATAATACTGTAAACTGGTTGTAAACTGTGTCTGTCCTGAGATTTACAATTACATGCCTCCAAATGCCTAGAAAAAATGTGCAGCAAACTATTTTTAAAATATATTTTTATTGATTTCAGAGAGGAAGAGAGAAGGAGAGGGAGACAGAAACATCAATGATGAGAATCATTGATCGGCTGCCTCCTGTAGGCCCCACACTGGGGATCGAGCCCACAACCCAGGCATGTGCCTTGACTGGGAATTGTACAGTGACCTCCTGGTTCATAGGTGGACTCCAAACCACCTTGCCATGCTGGCTGGGCACAAACTATTTTAAATAGTTTAAAAGTAAAGGACCCAGAGCTTAGAAAATAGAATATATTTCCAGAATTGATATTTGCTATAACTTACCATAATAAATTCCATTAAATCAGAATATTCTGGATTATTTGGGTCAATTCTGACTTCATTTGCCCATTCAAAAAGCTTCTGTGTATTAATGAGCCATGGAATTCCAGGATCGCCTCTTGCATCTACATTTCTTAACACACTAACATAGAGAAAAATATTTGTGAATGTGCATACAATATGCAGGTTATGTATTTGTTAGTATTTCCCCAGCATAGGGAATAGCGTTATAAATACTCATTTCAGGTATTTAAACATAATACCTACCCATCCCCTACATTTAAGGATAAAATAGGTTTACATGTGATATCTCTTCTGGGTCTTCTGAGAATATTCTAACTTGTGTCATAGAGTTTTGATAAGTGTCCACCCCCCTCCCTTCAGTTGAGAGGCTCTGATCTAGGGAACCCTTCTGATCATAACTCTTAGGCTCTGATCTAAGTTTAACCTTAAGAGACAGTAAACTTCTTGAGGGTAAAGTATCCACACTCTGTGTAGTAGCTAAAACATAGTAAATGCTACATAATAAATGGTGCATATTGGATGTATTCTGCAAACCCTGAGCGTAGTGACTTATTAAATATTTTCCTTCCATAGATGCACGGTATTGAGATGTAACCAAGATGTCTGCTTAAGAAAAATTAATAAAATCCATAGTATATAAGAATCTTCAGGTTACATTTTTACAATTGAAACATAATATAGAATATGAATTAACTGGGAAGTATTACCAAAGGAGTATCTTTATTTGGACCTCTTTTGGTGCTATACTCTGATTCTCACAAGTCATTCTTGCCTTCTGGAGAATTTATCCCAGGTTCCTAGAACGACAGCTCAGCACCAGCCCTTGAACTCCCGCACTGTAGAGGACAGTTCTGTAACTTCCCTCTCTGATGTCAGAGGCCCCAATGGTAAAGTTTTACTTTGAGTTAACGTCTTTAGAGAAGGCCCTGGACTTTGAAAACCTCTCTTACAATTCACTCCCTGTTGAAACCTGTCATATGCCCCCGTCATTCACAGAACTGCTTTAAATCTTTTGTAAACTTGAGTCCCCAAGTAACTGGAACTGCTAAGTGCAGCATCACAGAAGCAATAGAGAAGAGACTTAAAGAAGCAAAAGGATGAGGACAAGCCAATGAGTATCAGAAAGTCACTGGTAGCCTTCAGGAATCCGTGGATTGATTTAGGGAAGAAATGTATGAATAAAAAGTGAAGGCACTGTAGGCAGACCAGTATACCACCCAGGTGAGGGCTCAGTTAGATAAGAAAAACAGCCCCAAAGTGTTTTTTAAGGTTTAATCAGATGACTGGATTGTTCTTTGTTTAAAAAAACAAAGAAGGCTTCTTATATATAAAAGACTAATAGCATATAGAGATGGAAAAGTTGAAGATAATGTAAGAAAAGGATATAGATACATCAGCAGAATCCTAAAAGAAACAAAGGAAAGTTCCAAGATACCTGTATAAAAGATTGCCCCATTCATTAGCTTTAGAGTGAGGAGAACAAATATCTGACTCTAAGAATAAAAAGCAAAGAATATGTAAAATGAGATAAAGGTAGGAAATAGCTAGTCGATACTATACTAGGGAAATACTAAGAAATAAAAGAAAATAATGGTTCAAGGTATTAAAAGTTTATTCATTAGATAGTAAATCAATTAATTTTATTGTCTACTTTTTCCCCTAAAATGCCCTTCTCCAGGCCCTGAAGAAGATGACATCATTTATTTACCAAAACAAGGACATCCATCAAAATTGCATTTGCCTTCATAGTGATTTCTGTCTCATCCTCTGACTTGAAGAAGAGATATTTCCTCTTCTCTAGAACCATAGCTATAAATTTGTGTCTGGTTCAATATCTTCCTGACTCTGAAGGATCTCATACTTTTTCTAATATATTCTCTGGCTCTTTTCCCATGGATTTCATCACTTCTTTTAAGAAGATAAATATTGCCCCAGTTTTTAAGAAATCCATACCTTGATTCTTATTGTCTCTCTTATTTTCAGTCTTTTTCCCCCCAGCCTGTTAAACTTCTTGATGAATAATGTACACCCACTAGCTCAGTTTCCTCAAAATCAACTGGTGTTTTTTAAAATATATTTTTATTGATTTCAGAGAAGGGAGAGGGATAGAGAGATAGAAACATCAATGATGAGAGAGAATCATTTATCAGCTGCCTCCTGCACGCCCTCTATTGGGGACGAGGCCCACAACCCAGATATGTGCTCTGATTGGGAACAGAACCGTGACCTCCAGATTCATAGGTCAACACTCAAGCCTGAACCCGGCTCAACATCAATTGCTGAGTGCTACTAACATTTAGGTGTTGGTTTGGTTTTTTTCTCTAACACTTGTTCTTTACCACAAAAAGTACTTACAAACTCTTACTATAACTCTGGCCATATGCCACTGGTTTTATACATAGTGTTCTCATTATTTTAAAAGTCTCTAATTTCCATTTTGATCTCCTTTCAAATCCAAATTATTTATAGTGATGTTTTTAAATTTTTTTATTCTATTTTTAAAATACTTTTTAAAGAGCAGTTTCAGGCTCACAGCAAAAGTGACCAGAAAGCGCAGTTTTCATATGCCCCTTACCCCTCACACTTCACAGTCTCCCCACTATCAACATCCTGCACCAGAGTTATAATTTACTACATTCATTGCAAAAAGAGTGGCATTTGTTGCAATACATGAACCTATGTTGGCACATCATTATCACTCAAAGTACATAGTCTACATTCGGGTTTACTCCTGGTGCTGTACATTCCATGGGTTTTGACAAATATGTAATTATATGTACCCATAATTATGGTATCACACAGAGTAGTTTCAGTGCCCTAAAAATCCTGTGTGCTCTACCTAATCATCCCTCTCTCTTCATAACCCCTGGCAACTCCCAATATTTTTACTGTCTCCATAGTTCTGCCTTTTCCATAACATCATATAGCCAAGGTCTTTTAAAATATGTGTTTAGATGGAGAGGGGAAAGGCCATTGTTCTGGTATCATTACTCATTAATTTTTAAATGATGGAATCTATGTGGCCCTTTATATTTACCATTTTACTCAAACACAGCATAATATAAAAGGCAGCATTACCATCATTTTTATAAAATTTTACTGTACTTATTTCTAGTAATCCTATTTGTGGATATGACCTATAAGTTAATTCCAATTCTTTTAGAAAGTCCTGGGACATAGCATAAAATTTCTAGGATTTTTTTTCTAGCAAGTTGATAATACATAAATTATTATTTTATAATCCAGAATTACTGGGAAATATAAAGGCCCCAGAAATAAAATCCTTGGGAGTCTTGGCCTTTCTCATCCTACATGTGACTATAATCCTAAGGAAGGAAGAGATACACACTATTACATATAAAGACACTTATTATCATATAGGATAATTATCAATAAGATGTATAAATGTCTTATATATTTAGAAATATATTAACATTTTATATATTTATAAATATATGAAAAAAATAAATCAACATCTAAATAAACTAAATTCCTATTGCTGCTAGTTTTTTTCCTTTTATAGACACAGGTTTTGTGTGATGCTTTGCTGAGGAGTGGAATTATTTTTCAAGCATAAAGGTTTACTACCTGCAGTAAGCAGATCTTAATGACTGCGACATAGGTGTCAGAGGAATGCCATTTTCATCTAAGGCCCATGACAGGGAATAGCTTAGTTTTCCTGATGTGAAAAGACAAAGTTCTTCAGTTTCATTTCCCTCAAGAAGAAAAGGCACATCTGTTTATAAAGGGCATTAAAAACAAGTAAATTTTTTTAAAAGTGTGCAATTTGAACACATTGTAGATCCGCCCCTTCCCTCCCCCCACTTTTACTTGTGGAAATCCAGGAACACATAGGAAACTCTGTGCTGACCCCAGGCTCAAACCTGAGAGCTCCCCCTCATCACCCATCTAAGATGCCTCAAGGCAGATTGCTTCACACAGACTACAAAGAGAGGAAAATATTGATCTGGTTATATAGAGATGGACAGCGCTGGGCTGCTGGGGCCAGAGCAGAGACACAAACCCACAGGGGGGCCGGGTTTGATTCTCATCAAGGCCATGTACCTAGATTGCAGGCTCCTCCCTGACCGGGGCCCAGGTCAGGGCTCATGCATGAGGCAACCAATCTAAGTGTTCCTCTCACATTGATGTTTTTCTCTGTCTTTCCCTCTCTTTTCCACTGTCTCTAAAAATCAATGGGAAATATCCTCATGTGAGGATAAAAAAAAGAAAGAAAGAAATGTCATATCCTATGAAAGAGACATCTTGAAAATGCCTAAAGAAAGTTGTCATTTTTTCTTGGTGAAGGGACTGGAGTCCGTGTTGATAAAAACACCTTGGCAACTGTGGCAGTGGTGGCAGCAGCAGCCAGGTGATGGGGTGGCTTTTTCCCCTAATCAGCCCGGTTGCCTCCTGCAGAGGGAGGCCAGACTGCTGTCAGTAGGACATCCCCTGAGGGCTCCCAGACTGTGACAGGGGGAAGGTTTGGCTGAGGGACTCCCCCCCACCCCTACCCAGTGCACAAATTTTGTGCACCAGGCCTCTAGTTTTTAATAAACTTACTGCTTCCTACTTCTCCATACTCAGGCATGACCAGCTCATCAGAGCTAAACTCTACATATTCCAAAGCAGTTTTGCTTTTCAGCTCTGTGTTGTTAGGCAAAGGTACATATAGTTTTGCCAGCAAGTTTGTCCTTTTATTTATTTCATAAACCTAAATAGAAAAGAAATGATTGATAGCTCATTGAAAATACAAAAATTTTTAAACTAAACTAAGGACCCTTATAAACACTCATTTGTATTCTTTTTTTTAAATGCCAGAATATAAAATAGGTATTGTTCTATAGTATTTCACCTACTGATTGTGAGAAAAGTAGATAATTGTACATCCCTTAAAGTAGAATGCCTTTCACTAGTTTCAAGGAAAATAAATTTAATAAAAGGATTATAAATACAGTTCTGAGAATATAGGTACACATAACAGAATACCTGAATAACTTACTTTTGTGTAGCACTTTTAAAGTTCCTTACCTCATTTAAACCTGATGAAAATTATAGAAAACTGGTATTATTCTTCCCATTTCATTAGGAAATGGAGTCTCTATATAAAACTATATTTGTTTTTATTGTAAGTGATGGAAACTCAGGTTGACTTGCTTAGAAAAAAGGGAAATTCATTAACTCATGGAATCCAAGGACAGATTAAATGAGCTGTAGGGATAGGGGAGGGCAAAAAAGTCCCAGTAGATAGTTTCACAGATGCCCACTGGTACTAAACCCAGGTCTTTTGATTCTGATGCTGTGCTTTAACTACAATTCCATCACTGCCATAATTACAAACCTAAAGTTTTTTTCAATAGCAAAATCTTCATTTGACCTGTACTGTGTTTGGCAAACAGTGATTTGTACTCTAAGAAGAAGGAAATAGGGGGTAGGGTGGGGGTGGAATGCTCCTTGAAAGTTAAGAAAAAATGTGTCAACCAAAAAGGGGGTTGGTTAATCAAGAAAGCAGAGAAAAAGCAAAGTCCGAGGCAAATATTTTTTCTAGTTATCTGAAAACTGTCCCTTGTAAAAATTAACTTAAGCCAACACACTGGTCTCTTTGACAAAAGTGTCCCTAATGCTGAAAGGTTTGTAGGAGTTATTGCAAATGGACTTAAGTATTCAGGTCCGTGAAAGGAATTTCTTATTGTAAATCATTTTATTAGCCAACTAAAGAAAGACAGTGAACTGATAACTATATTCAAAGGATGAATTGGCACTCTGATTTGACAAATCAGCCTTGTAAATTTGTTTAGGGAACTGCCTTTTCAGGGGATTGTCAAATCCAGTTTCTGATACTGCAAGGCTGGAGGTCAGATCCTGGGTAGAAGTAAATGTGAAGGTAGAGAATTCCACCTGGTGAAGTCCCCAGGAGACGGCCTGCCCCCTCCCCACCCCCCACCCCCGATAGCAGCTATTAGCACCACTGAATGGCAGAGATGAAGTATCAAGAATGGGCATTTTAATGGAGGAACTGGAATGGTCAATCGTTCTGAAGTAGGAAACTGCAGGATACATGGTAAAAACACAAGTAATTCAGTTTGACTGAATGAAGAATCAGTAAAGAGGAATGGTAAGAAGTAAATCAGAAATGTAGATTAGAATCTCTTACACTAGGGCAGTGGTCAGCAAACTGCAGCTCGCAAGCCACATGCGGCTCTTTGGCCCCTTAAGTGTGGCTCTTCCACAAATACCACGTGCGGGCGCGCGTGTACAGTGCGATTGAAACTTCACGGCCCATGCGCAGAAGTTGGTATTTTGTGGAAGAGCTACACTCAAGGGGCCAAAGAGCCGCATGTGCCTCAAAAGCCGCAGTTTGCCGACCATTGCACTAGGGCATAAAAATTTATATTCAACTTCTGCAGCTGCTAATGATGTAATTTCTCTCTAGCTAGATTAGTTTCTTTCCCTGCATCTTAGTTTGTTATATGCTAAGTAATGAAAAATTCAAAAGTGCATTTATCTATATTTTTAACCTCAAGTGGTTGGATTATAATTTTTAAGATGACAGGTTCTTGATAGTACAGATAAACAAAATGAATACAACCTCTGGTCAGGGATAGCACAAAATGATCTAGGCATTGTGAAAATAACAGATTTAGATTTGTAATTATAATCCTCTCTCCAGTCCTCAAACTCCATCCCAACCTTACATACACAAATCTTTATTCCCTCAAAACCTTTCCTTTGGGTATAGATGCAAGTTCAACCCCTATATTGGCCATCAAAATTTCTTGTCTAGACTCCTTTATGGTCTCTAATTTTTCTCCATTGTACTATTTTCTTCTTCCTTTAATAGTGCAGGGTTCTCATGATGGTGTCTTTGGACAAAGATCAGGGGTCTATTGTGTGTATGATCTTTCATCAGATTTTTAAAAAGATCCCAAATCCAAAAATAGATGAAGAACAAATACAGCAAGAGACTGAAATCAAGTCAGGGCTGGAGCAATTTGGAGACATCCTTCAATACTATTGTAATAGTTATACCTCTCACTGTAGCTTCCAGCGGTCACCAACCTTTCGGACCTCAGGGACCACCAGTGGCCCGCGGACCACCAGTTGGCGACCATTGGACACAACCCTCTTCCAGCTCACTAGCAAATGAACAGTAATACTGCACACCAAGGGTTGGTAGAAATTTTAGCAGGAAAGAAGAGAAGTATTTAATTAATCAAATAATTTTGTGCTTATAGTATAAAAAACTAATGATAAATTACAAATATATTATTTATAAATATCTTCTTTAGCCATATAGATCAGTTATCTCTAAATGTAAAAGCAATAACTTATCACATATAACAATAGCTAACAAGAAATTTAAAATTATGTATGGGTAAAATAAGGTACAAAAGTAAATAACAATGACATACCTCCAAGCAAATTGTTTCAGGCCAATATATTAACTGGATATTGAAAATCTGCTGAAACATGACTTTAAAATCAAACTGCAGAGGAGATATTGAAGTGCAAGAAACCTGTTTATCATTGTATAATATTTTAATAAAATATTTAAGTTTCTGAATTTTGGCTCTCCTCTTTTGTTCATGCCTAAAAATTAAAGAAACCTTTAAAAGACCATTGAAAAGCAAAATGGACATAAAATGTTCATTTCAAAATGTACCTTAACTTAGCATGTTAAAATATGATTATTTTAGAGGGCAAATGGTATCTTTAAGCCCCAAAACGCTTGCCAAAATGTGGATAAAAGCCTCTGCTACCCAGTAAAATGTTTTTTCAAGAAAAATATTTACTCAAAAATAGAAAAAGAACTAAAATCAGGGTTCTGTAAATCATTCAGGTATTTATTTTACTAAATTTTAAGCACTTACCTATCATAAGATGATTTATGAGAAGAGGAAACTGAGGGACTTAGTAATAGGGTTTGGAAACTTAAATCAAGAACTCAAAAATATTGTCTAACTCTTAAAAGAGGTACACACACGCACACACACACACACACACACGTTTTCAATAACCTCAAAGAAGTGGCTCTAAGTCATGAGGCTTGCTGTGTTCTATTAAAGGCCTTTGAAAATCCCTTTAGGCTTTAGGTGGTACACCCTTTTTCTCCAGGTCATTTTTTCTCTGAACCCAAAGATTTGAGAGAGGTTAGTTCTCTGGGGCTTATGCGTACACTTATTAGGGAATAAATTGACGCCTTGAGTGAGATGAAAGTCCTAAAAAGAGTCTTCCATCCATTCATTTATTCCTTCGCTTAACTAACATTTACTGAAAACCGTTTTAGCTGCACGGGAACTGACTTGATGATGTTTAAGACTTGAGCCACTTTTTCAGAAAGGAGAAGACTGGTTGGAAGATAAGCCTTAGTTGAAATATAGAAATCCCCTGTTCTCCACCCTAATCATCGTCTGGGCCCAGGATCTCCCTGCCCTCAGATAAGCCCATCTTCTCCGTAACCTTCTCAGAGGGTTCAGAGACAAAAGATTACTTATTCTCCGTTAGCCTCTTCTAACCATCTTCCCAATTACCCTTAGAGAAATATCTTAGTTCAATTTGCCCTTCATGTTGCCCTTTGAATGTAATTTTAACAATGGGCTCATGAACTGATGATGACATTCATTAATTCAGTATTATATTTATCTTGAGGTAATCTTGTTTTTTTTCTTCACCTGTAAACTCTTTAATTCTTCTTTAATTCCTGTCCTTTCATCTCTATCCTTGATATCAGTACATCATACTTTTCTAGAGAGTCTTTTTTTTTTTTTTTTTTTTTTTTAGAGAGTCAATTCTTATTCAACTGGATATTTTAAATGGATAATGAAAGCAATGCCACACAACAGCAATTGCTTTGAGAAGATAGAAAGCACCTATTTCCTTTTGCCTTGACTTCCACTAAGTTTTAGCCTAGGCTTTCCAGCACAAATACCTTCCTCCTTCTCTTTCTCCTCTTTATTTCCATCTTCCATTTTATGGATACTGTTTTCTTGTCTTCATTTAGATGGTCCTTTTGTATGTGTGCCTTACATAATAAATTATCTCAGACCCCTTTGAGAAATAGGTATAGAACAAATCAGTACTTCACCACTGTACTTCTCTGGTCAGAAAGACAGTAGTGATTGTGTCTTTGTGTCTGCTACTTTTTATGTTCATTTTAAAATGCAACCATCATCCAGTTAATGTATATGAATATTTATTGGGCACCCACTGTCTTACAACACTGTGCTAAATTATGCACATTCACAATACTCAAGGACGATTTGGTTCAAAGTGTCCCATGAGACAGAAATGTTGAAAAGTTGGACCTAGTTCAGTGCTCTAATTTGACTTATCCTCTTTAAGGGAGATGAGAGCCACAGGCCTACAGATGGGAGAAATGACAATCTGTATGATACCTGTTTTTGCATGAAATGTCCCAGGAGTAGGGGGAAACATTGTAGCTCAAGGAAGAAGTCACAAGTGGGAAGGAAAGAAGTTTATGTCAAAATATAAAATTGCCCAGAGGGGCTTCCTGATATAGAATACATTTTATGAAAGCAAAGGGTACCTTAACAAGCTAGGGCTACTATATAATCTTATTATACGGTGGCTTTATATCCTACCTATCTATACATGAACAAAAATTACTACCATAGCAAAAACAAAAAACAGTCATCAAACCAAACTGTTTTATGTACCACCTCACTGATGAATTAGAGATGTGACCCTGGGCTACTTAACATTTTATAAGCATAAATTCCCCCATCTTTAAAATGAGGATAACACCATAGAACTATAGTAGCAATTAAATGTGCAAATGTATAAGATAAAGTAGCAAAGTGCCCGGTATATGGCACTCACTCAAGAAATCTAACATTATTATTAAAAATTAAACAATTAATAGACAATATAAAAGAAAAAAATAATCCTGTAAAAACGCTTACAGTGAACACTTGGATAAGTTTGTTAATTCTTCAGCAAAAGAAAGTTGTGGCATCAAAGTAATTGGCTTTATTCCTTCAATATCTGTTTCTTCAAGTGCTGAAGCTAAATATAAGAGGCTCTAGAAACCAAAAAAATAAATGTATAATTTACAATGTAAGTTCACTGTTTAGGACAATTATTCTTAATATTAAACTTATATTTCCTATATTTGTAACTTTGTTGGGTAACTGTTACAAATACAAAGATATCCTATTTTATCTATTAAATATTATAACTAGTTGAGTTAAATATCATTTTTCAATATAAATACCTCCTCATTTCCCCCACTGTTATATGCTTTTCCTTCAGTTTTCTTCTCAGTCTCAGACATTTCTGACATTTCTCCTTGATTTTGTTCATCAAATCTATTTATTTTTATCCTAGTTAATAATAAATAGAATTATTTAAAGCAAATATAATGAAAGTATTGGACAGTTATAATTGTGCTTGCACAACTCTATGAATATACTAAAAACCATTGACCTGCACACCTTAATCAATAAAGAAAAAAGAACTGCACACTTTAAATGGGTGAAATGTATGGTATGCAAACTATATCTCATTAAAACTGTTTTTTAAAAAATTTAAATTCTTTATTAGAACTGTTTTTAGAATATATGCTTTTGCCTTCTGAAATACAGTATAATGAATTCAGTGTGGATATTACCTGTATGGGCTGAGAGCAACTACCTGTGTTGACTGGCACTATGGAATTTGGGCAAGTTCCTAAAGTGCTCTGTGCCTTACTTTTCTCATTTGAAAATTGTGTTGTTATAAGGATTATATGAACTAATTCATGCAAAGTGCTGTTTGGTGCTCAAAGCATAACTAACAATAAATATTATTGTTTTCCTCTGATTTGGGGTAATCAATATGAACTTATTGTTCATAATTAACTTAGTGTTCTTTAATATAATGGCGGTCAAACTTTGTCACATTCAAATCACTGGGGAGCTTTTTTAAAGTTTTTTTTTTCTTTTTTTAAATAAACTGTTGAAAATGTTAGGAATTATAATAAAGGTGATCATGAAACATTTTCATTAAAAACCACTGCAGTTGGGGAAAAATCAACAAAGTAAAAACCATTTTTATTGCCTGAAATTACACTAATCTTTTACAGTTTGGGGGGAAAAAAAGATCCAGGAACAATGGGTTAGGAAGGAAACCAGTTATTTAACTGTGAGTTCACAGCTTCTGTGAGTAACAAGTATAGTTTTTAATTATAACTAACTCCTCCAATAGACATGTTTTTATAATTACATGTTTTACCCAGGAGGGTGATTGCTGAATCTATATTTAACTTTATAATAAAGTGCCAAATTGTTTTCAAAGTCACTGTACAATTTTTCATTCCCACCAGCAATCAATTAGAGTTACTATTACTCAGCATCTTTGAAAGCATGTGTTACTGTCTTTTCCTTTCCTCTCTTTTCTTTTCTTTGTTCTGATTTTTAGCCATTCTAATAGGTGTGTAGTATATTCCATTGTGGTTTCAATTCACATTACTCTACTGACCTGAAGTGATGTTGAGCATCTTCTCATGTGTTCATTTGCCATCCATATACCTTCTTTAGTTAAGTGTCTATTCAAATCTTTTGCCCCTTTTAATTAAATTGTAAGAATTGTTTATATATTCAAGATACAGGTCCTTTGTTGGCTACATCAAATAATTATCTAGCTTCTTTTCTCCCAATTACTGTGAATTGCCAGTTATTCATGTGCAGTTCCTCAGAAATGTTATAAGAACCAATAGAACAACCACTCACCTCTGAAACTGTAACTTTATCGGGGTGCTTATAAACCCTTGCTGTTGTCGAAGAGATTTTATCTGTTTCCAAGTACGTAATATACTTTGTAGGAGGGAGAAGTCCTTTTCCCTTTCTAAGTCATAGAGCTGTTTTGTATTACTACAACAATAATGGTAGATTAAAAAAATATTAGCAGATTAGAATTATTTAAGTCATTAAGATGGCCTGGAAGAATGTATTACACTAATTTTTCTGGACTCCCCTTGGCCACCTCATGTTTTTTTCATTTTACCCATATCTTGATATAGAAACTGAAATTCCATTTAGTGATTCATTCCTTTATGGCTTAAAGTTTTTCACTATTTTCTTTGTCATCCCCTTTACATTCTCCCTTTTATGAAGTTTAACACCTGTTTCTACAGGATCTCCTATTAGACTTTCTAATTAAGATGAGCTTGGCTTTATCTTCTGCCTTTGGCACTCCATGAAGGCATTTGAATGCCAGTCAGAATTACTAGTGTTTAACAGATACACTCCATGTAAAAGCTGACTTTACCCCTAATTTTTAGGATTTTTCCTTTTACCTAGTTTTTGGCTTTTGTAGATTCCTTACCTTTTTGCCATTTCAGCAATAAAAATAGTATTATCAGACATTTTTACTTATTTTCATTAGAAGGGACATTCAGGGAATCTAGTCTACCATACTGATAGAAAGAGAAGCCTATTGCCATTCTTTAATTCATCCACTAAATATTTATTGGGTGCTTACTGCATGCCAGGTACTGTGCTGGTTAAGGGGAGATACAAAGATAAAAACACAAGGTCAGAAAAGCTTATATGCATATAAATTAATCAATGCAACAAAATGTTATAGGTGTTATGATAGAAGTTCATACATGCTATAGTGTGAGCATAAATAAGAGAGGCAGGCAACAGGAGGGAAAGACTTCATAGAGTATGTAACATTCAATTCAAATCAATAAACTCATAATAAGTAAGTACTATGTGGTAGGAAATATTTAAGGTGCTGGTAACTAATATCCCAGCAGGGGAAAAGACAAAGCAAATTACAAATGTGATGAGTATCATGAAAGAGGAAATACATAAGTGCTACGTGAGTATAAAAAGAAAGAAAATTAATCTAATCAAATGGGCAAAGTAAGAGCCTCCCTGAGAAAGTAACATGATGTTGAAAAAAATGTGTATGTTGACTAAGTGTCAGGCAGAAAATGATGAAAGAACCTTTAGAAACTAGAGGCATTAAAACAAAGTTATGTAGACATCAGAGGGCACAGTCCATTTAGGGCACTGGACTATAAAGTTCCGAGATAAGAACCCCTAAAATGAGGCTGGAGAAGTCAGCAGTAGACAGATTATGGAGGGCCTTACAAATCATGCTAAAACCACTGAATTTTATCTTAAAGGTAATAGAAAAATCACTCTGATTTTAACATGGAGCATGGTTTAAAGAGAGGTATTTTAGGAGACTATTTGAGTAGTTAGGCTATGAAATAAGCACCTGAAGTAAAGCAGAATCAGTGGGAATGGTTACTGGCTGGGTGTGAGGGATGAGAGGAGAGGCAAGGAGACAGGTCACAAATGACTTGCAGATGTCTTTCTTGGTACCAGGTGATGGTGAGTACTAGCCATCTAGTATATAGTCATTAAAGGCTGAATTCATATGTGCCATTCTTATTTAATTGTATTTCATGCCCACAGTTTTCCCAACAGAAACATTGTTTTTCAAATGGCAACAAACTCCCCTTTGAAGCATTTCAACACCACTCTGAACATTTTTCTGAATGTAAATCTATCACACTGCTTTTTTTTTGCTTTAATAAAAGCAACGATCTCTTCAGTCACACACACACACACACACACACACACACACACACACACACACACAGTATTAGACTTCTGCCTATCCATCACCATGGGATCCCATCTAAAGCATACTTTTCTTTTTTCTATATTATAGTTTACTTGTGTTCATTATGCCAATGTTTGTTCTTTGCTCCCCGTTTTAGCTTATAAGTAACACTAGTTTATTGTTTTGTAAATACTGATGTCTTCTATTCATTTTCATTCATTCATCTAATACTTATTGAACACTCACTGTATGCCAGGTGCTGTGCAATATGTCAACCTTCTCAAGTAATATTGTTTGCATTTAACTAGGTTAATCTAGGAAAACAATTATTTTAAATCAACTCTTGCCTCTAGTGGTTAAGAGCTTGTAGAACTATGCCAGGTCAATGGACAGGGAGTCAAGAAAATTCTTTATCAAATCCCTCTCGGATTTAGACAACTGTATGTCTTTGTGCATAATGGAACTTTCTATTCAATAAGCACCTCCCAATAAGCTTTCCTGCTATTGGAGATTCCTTGACACATAATTATGTTTTCTCTTGAAATCATTTTTCCAATTATTTCATACTTTCCTAACTTCTCTTCCAACTTGTAGACCATATTTTTTTACAGGGGCCTTTAAATCTATAACCTCTTTGGGTATTGCCTTTAGACTGAATTAATAATATATCTTGCACATATGTATATTTAGAGTAACTCTCAAATAAATACAAACACTTGAGATTAATATAACCCAAGTACAAAGAAAAGTGTTAGTAAATATAGTTTTAATTGACGTGCTTGATGAATACACGAAGGGCCCCAAACCTACCTTATCTGCCAATAATAATCTTGTAAAGATTTTCCAGTCAGCTGGCTCATTTCCAAATCATCATTTAATAATTTGGTAGCATGTGTCAGCGCTTTAAGCTACAACAAAGAAAAGACCTTTTTGGGGGTACATTTCATTCATCTGTTACTATCATCCCAATTCACCTGCAGATCTAGGTTTGTGCAGTAGAAGCACAAATATATAAGTTTGGTGTATTACTGCCTTGTCTTCCAAAATATACTATATAATAAAGGGCTAATATGCAAACTATCCCCTTGGGAGTTTGACCGACCAGGAGTTCAACTGCTCGCTATGACATGCACTGACCACCAGAGGGCAGCGCAGAATGAAGGAAGGCCCCAGCCGGCAGCTGGTAGCTGGGGGAAGGAAGGCCCCGATCGGCAGCCAGGGCTAGGGACCCTACCCGAAATTTGTGCACGGGTCTCTAGTATTTCTAGTATTTGGGTAAAACTAAGAAGAACCTCAATATCTGTCTCAGATACAAACATTATACCTTAAACATTCTACATAATCAGTTCATCGATTAATATAGAGAAATACCAATCAATCAAGATGGCAGAATGAACACAGGAATCTACCTTCCTCCATTTAAAATCCATGGTTACACAGAAGATACGTGTTTAACTGTCTTTATCCATTTCCATTCCCATATCTATATAATAAAAGGCTAATATGCAAATTGTCCCCACAGGCATTCAACCGGGAGACCAGGAGTTCTATCACTTGCTATGACGTGCACTGACCACCAAGGGGTGGTGAGGAACATGGCAGGGCGCTGAAGGAGGAGAGGGCGGGGAGGCCGGGAGGCGGGGAACCTGATCAGCCCTGATTGCCAGCCAGGCCTAGGGACCCTACCTGTGCACAAATTTCATGCACCAGGCTTCTAATATAAGTATATTTGTAATTATATCTATATCTCGCAATAAAAAAATAAATGCAGCCAAAACCGGTTTGGCTCAGTGGATAGAGCGTCGGCCTGCGGACTGAAGGGTCCCAGGTTCGATTCCGGTCAAGGGCATGTACCTGGGTTGCAGGCATATCCCCAGTAGGAGATGTGCAGGAGGCAGCTGATCGATGTTTCTCTCTCATCGATGTTTCTAACTCTCTATCTCTCTCCCTTCCTCTCTGTAAAAAATCAATAAAATATATTTTTAAAAAAATAAAAAAAAATAAATGCGTAACATAGGAAGATAAGAAAAAAATAAAATCAATAGAACAAAATATACTGAAGGAAGTATAAAACAGAGAGAATTATCCACAGAAAATATCTATAGAGAAATAAAACTGAAGGAAACTATACCTAAGACATATGCAGGAGAAATGTTACAGTTAGAGACAGTTTAAGAAAATAAATTGAAGAAAAGTACAAAGCAATTAGGAAACTACTTTTGGCTCCTAAGAATTAAAAATAATAATAGTAATTATTATTATTATTATTATTATACTGAAACATACATAAATCATGATCCCAAAATGTTATTTTATAAAGGAGAGTCATACTACATGAAAAATAAATATATCCTTATATATGGTAATAGATAGTATTCTAATGAGATAAAATTGATATTGCTAGATCAGACTTTAAAGATTATACAATATTTTTGGAAAATTATCTATAAAGTAGAAATCCATAAATCAAATCACTTCTTTTCAATGACTTACATCTGAATTTCGGAGTTGATTCCTCCATTCACGAAAACAATAGCCATATTATACTTAAAATTAGAATATTCAATATTTGTTTTAAGAAATATTCTGACACTATTAATGCACAGTCTTCAACTATTAAGTGCTCCTACACAATTGCTACATAAAATTCAATTGAAGATATTCAGTTCTATGATTTTTGCTTTTGTATTTTACAGAGCAGATATACTAAAGTACAGTTCATTTACAACTTCTTGTAACGTCTTGGTGACTCCATCAGGCTTGAATGTTTAATTAAGTACCTTACTAAGTATTTTCCAAATGTACTCATTAGCTGAATGAGACCTATCAAAACATCTTTAAAGAGAAAACACTAGTAAACAAAATACTTATGTATCAGAAACTCAGCAGAGTTTAAATGAGAGGCACAAATTCAAAAAATAATCAGTGGATATTCTCTTGATTTCTCTTCAAACTTTATGGACCCTTTATGATGTCATTAGATATTTGGATTGATCATTCTTAAACTAAGACTCCTCACATTTGATATGAGATTTAAGATTGCTGATATTTTTATAAAAAATACTCTATAACAAGACTTAAAACAGCCATATGACTCTTTTAAATAGTAATCATTTCAAATACTCTTCTTAAGTCATAGAACCAAGAATACCAGTGATCAGTAAACGATTTATAAGCACTACATATCCTGCAACTCCTACAGTTTCTTTTTAGAAAAACTGAAATCAACCATTGTTCTTATTGGTTAAACTAGAAGCCCAGTGGGTGAAATCACATGGCCCTGCCCACCTGCGAGCGCCTCACTGTGCTTGCAGCCCCGCTCACCCTTGTGCACCTCACCCCCCAGAGTGCGCCCCGCCATGCTTGCAGCCCCACCCACCCGTGCCGGTCTTTAGTCATTACGGCGTCATGACCACTGGATTTTTATTATATCGACTAGAGGCCTGGTGCATGGATTTGTGCACCGGTGGGATCCCTCGGCCTGGCCTGCAGGGATCGGGCCAAAACCGGCTCTCCGACATCCCCCAAGGGGTCCCAGATTGTGAGAGGGTGGTTCTCGGGTGACACACCCCGGAATCGGGCTCCCTCCTCTCTGGTCCTGGTGCGTCACCTGAGAACCGCAGCTGCCAAGTCACCACAGCTCAGCAGCTCCTGCGTTGAGCATCTGCCCCCTGGTGGTCAGTGTGTGTCATAGCTACTGGTCTGGACCGTCTGCCCCCTGGTGGTCATTGCCCATCATAGCTACCGGTCTGATGGTCAAACAGATGGACGATCGCTTAGACTTTTATATATATAGATAATTAAAATGCTAAGGGAAAATGTCCTATGATAACTTACTCTGTACTAAGGTTTGTTTACTCTTTCAATATTAAATGTTCAGCCCAATAATGTGATAAAAGCCATTCTCACCTTCTCTAAAAGGAGCTGAGATAAATTCTGTTGCTGTCTGTCCTGAAAACACTCATAAAGTTGGAGCAGCCTAGCACATAATACTTGTTCTTGATTGAAGACAGGATGATGGCTAAATTGCAAACCCACAATGTTGAGATCTAATTGGTACATTTTCCCTTGACCTTCCATTTTGGTCCTAATAGAGCTTTCTAAATCAGATTTCACTGCCTTTAAAGAAAAATGTGTACACAAAGTTAATTTGGTTCTATTTCTTTTTAAATTACCTTTTTAAGAGTAACATTTTAATTGTAAGAAAATTAAGACACAGAAAATAAAAAAGCCAATAATTTGATCCTTTTTTCCTAAAGTTGATTATGGCCCTTGATTTCATACAGAGTGTCCCAAAAATATGTATACACACTTTGAATAATTATTAATTCCAATAGGTTAAAATACGAAAAGAAACATCAATTGGGCTATCAGCTGTAAAGTGTGTATAAATTTTGGGGGGAAACCCTATATATTTATAGTACAGCATTTTAATAATCTTGCTATAAGTTATTGTTTATAATACTGTTAGGTGCTGATAGAGGTTGAACTTTCAAGGTGTAAGCTCCCAAATAATTTCCTATAGGAACACTATGACAAATGGTGTTCAGAACTGCTGAGTCAATAGTTTTACTATGTGATGATATAATAGTCATCTGTGGGCCAGAGTTAAATGGTAAACCCTTATTAAAACACTGTTCCACCCTAGACAGTTTGGCTCCGTGGACAGAGAACCGGCCCACAGACTGAAGGGTCCTGGGTTCGATTCCAGTAACAAGCATGTACCTCAGTTGCAGGCTCAATCCCCGGCCCTGGTTGGGGCACGTGAGTGAGGCAACCAATCAATGTGTCTCTCTCAAATCAATGCTTTTCTCTCCCTCCCTCCCTTCCACTCTCTCTAAAAATCAACAGAAAAATATCACCAGGTGAAGATTAACAAAAAAAACCATTGTTGTCTGACACAACTTTCAGCACATTACCTGTTAAGGATGCTACAGAATGAATTTGAATACTCATTTTAGATGCTTGGTGAAGTGACATATACATTTACTCCCAACTCTAAGGGTCCACTGAATACTAAAATTGTGCTTGGATGAAAAAGTTACTTGTTCAGCCCAGTGGTTTCCAACATCAGAATCTGGATGTTTACAAAGGTTAATCTGGATGGGGGTTAACATTTCTCCAAAAATGGTATGTTTTGCATTTACCTACCATCCTTTTGCTCATTCATTCATTCATGTACTCACTTATTCAACAAGCTTCCACTGTTTCAAGGACCTCTCTCTCCAACAGCAATGGTCTCTGATAATTATGTTAAAATATCTGTGCTATAGCTTGAGCAAAATAAAAATAATCCTATCCTGCTATCTAGAGATAATTATTTACTTTGATATACTTTTCAGTCTTTTAATCTATGTACACATATACGTACTTGTCCGTTCATTAATAAATTCATTATCTATTTTTACAAAATTAGGATCAGATTTAATTTTTCATTCTTTTTTTCACTTCACATTTTATTTTGAGCATTTACCCATATCATTAAATATTCCTCAAAAATGTAATTTTAATGGATATTTGACATTTCATCATAGTTTTGCCATTATATTAGTAGACATTAATATATTTAAAGGGTGAATTAACACCGCAAAAATGTAAGTTATAATCAGCATTACAAGAATTCTAACCATAATTACAAGTAAACTGTAATTGGTTACCTTCCTGTATATGGTCTTTAGTGCTGGATTTAAAGATTCCTTGCTTATGTTTAGTCTGAATTTCCATGACTGGCTAATAGGTGAAGGTAATGACATTATTTCAGCACTTTCTTCAAACCAACACATTCCCTATCAAAAATATTTAAGAAACATAGTAATTAAATATTTCATCAAAAATAAATATCACATACTATCAGTGAGTGGTTTAACTTGTTAGCCGGTGCACTTGCCTCTTCTAGTTGAAGCAGGCGATTTTCCATTTTGTTGCAGGTCTTTTTATATATTTTTGGCTTTCTCTGTATATAGAATCCTTCGTCTTCTAAAATGCGTGGCATCATATCTTTTGGCAGTTTACGCTGGCTGACCACTTAATAACAAAACCTATATATTACTTAAAGTCCAACATGTTAAACTGGTATTGACCAAACAAGAAGCAAAGGGGAACTAAAGTCTAGCAGCAAGCTTAAATACACACACACACACACACACACACACACACGAGTTCTTTTAATCAATCCTCTTAAACTCAGAGAAGGCATGAAGAATATAGAAAATATTCTATAATTTAAGAACAATCCTCCTTTTTTTATCCTCACCTGAGGATATGCTTATTGATTTTTAGGGAGAGGGAGAGAGAGGAGGAAGCGGGGTGGGGCGGGGAGAGGGAAACAGAAACATCAATGTGAAACAGAACATCCATCTGTCACCTTTCGGATCAAACCCGCAACCTACATATGTGCCCTGACTGGAATCGAACCCGTAACCTTTTGGTATATGGGAGGATGCTCCAACCAAATGAGCTACACCAACTGGGGCTAGACCGGCACATTTTATCTATCCATCCAGCATAGAAAAAAGCTATCATCCTTTAGTATGATTCATTAATGACGTAAATATTTTATTGTAAAAGAACTTTACCTGAGGAACTACTTGGCACAAAAATATTTATCTGTTGTCTTTTGATTTGTTCTTGATCATCTTCATATTCAGCAGCTTTTACTTCAAGTAAATCTGGAAAAATTACTTCTTCCATATATTCTTTATCATGGCTTTCAGCAAAATCTTGTAAATTATCACCAAGTGATAAATGTTTAGGGTAACTATCATTTACTAATCGCTGTTGAATACCAAAAATAAAAATAAGTATACATGATTATCCTTCTGATCCATGCCACCCAGTTCAAGGTCAAGCTGAAACTGTTATAACGGAAATTCACTGAACATAGAGGAACTCATTGAAGGCTTAATCTTTTACAATATGATTTTTCTATAGCACTTCCTTGCAATTCTCAACGAAAAAATTAATGAAATAGAATTATAATTCAAGCCCCTCCTCTCTTTTGGAAAATAGTCTGAGATATTGGACTATGACACATCAATCACTGAGAATTCATAGTGTAGGGCAAAGGCCAGATACATCAGACCATGTGATCCTAAACCCCATTTTCTTCACTATTCAGAAAGCAGTAGTACTTAAAGTGATTGTGGAGCATCCCTGATGTTTTCTGGATGGCATTCAAGAAAAATAAAGAAAGAAAAGTAAAGATTCAACATAGAAGTCTATGGCAGAGTGATTATAGTAAAATTTGAAAACATTCTATGTATAAAAGTTACAATCTGAATATAGGTATTGGAAAATATATTACTAAATATAAAAATGCATACTTTTATATCATGATCGTAAATTTTAAGTCTCTTCACACACAAAAATCAATTCATTTTGAATGACTTTATTGTCTAATTTGATATCGACACATATTGAAAAAGGAGACAGAGTGTGTGTGAGTCATGCAAATAAAAACTCCCCAATTAAAAATGTATATTTAGGGGTAAATAATTAAGTAAAAGGAATTAATCACACAGCGTCTTTGAATAGAGGACCTTACTTGCTCTGATCACGTCTGACAAAATTAAGTAACATAGTTAAAGCATCACCTAGGTTCATATGAAGTAAACACCCCTCATACCCTGTCTCTTACCCCTGTCATGAGATCAAGAAAATATTTTATGCTCTGGCACATGTTGCTCAATGGTTACAGCATAGGCCCACAACCGAAGGGTCTCAGGTTTGATTCCCAGTCAAAGGCACATACCTCAGTTGCTGGTTTGCTCCCCATCCGGGGTCGGGGCTCATGAGGGAAGCAACCAGTGGGTGTGTCTCTCTCATATCAATGTCTCTGTCTCTCTCTCTCTCTCTCTTTTTCTGTTTCCCTTCCTCTCTCCTTCCCTCCTTTCTGCTCTCTCTGAAAAGCAATGGAAAAAATATTCTCAAGTGAGGATTTTTAAAAATGAAGGTATTTTATATCTAGAAATTTTTCTGGTATCTTTTTCAGAATTCAAACAAAGTATGGCACTGATCTCTAGAAGCAAGATTTGGGAGATCCTCACATAGGGGATCTCTTTGAAGATTCCAATCATAAGACAAAAAGGACTCTCTTTGTTCCAGCTGCAGCCCCATTATCAATCTTCCTTTATAGCATCCCAGATGTGGGCCAGGGCTTTCAACTTGCCTTCGGAGGTAAGGCCCACGTCGGGGATGCTGTAAAGGAAGACTGATAATGGTGTACAGTAGAAAGGCAAATGGGGTCCAAGAGGGACCCCAAAGGAGGGCCTGAGGGATTTGGAAATGACTAAGAGGTGTTAGTAGATAGAAAGAGTTCTGGGGAATAAGAGGTACTGGGGGAAGGGGCTCAAGGAAACTGTGGAGAGACTTGAAGGTGGAGAGGAATTAGAGAAAAATACAGAGGAACATGAGTAGGTAGGACGATCAATAAAAGTGACTGACAAATGAGGAGGCAATGGGGAAAGACTAGTGAGACTGGAGGAAAGGACAACCAGGGAATAATAGGAGGGGCTGAGGAGTTTGAAGGGAAGCGGGAGAAGTGACAGAAATTGGAAGACTCTAGGATTGGACTAGGAGGGATGGACATAGGGACTCTGTGGAGAGTAATAGAGATTATTGAGAACAATGTGGGCACTTGGAGAGAAAGACAGGAACAACAGAAGAAAGAGAAAACACGGGCTTTGCAGCTAACAGCCTATATTTCCCAGCTCTATTAATGCTTAACCCACCTTAGTTTCCTCACCTATAAAACAGAGCCGATAACAGTGCCTGCCTAACAGGGTTTCTATGAGGATTGAATGATACAATCCACATTAAAAATTTAGTATGTCATTGGGCATCCAGTAAGCACTTAATAAATTTTAGGAATTATTATGAACAACTCAATTCAGAGAGAACAAAATCACTCAATAATAAAAATTTCATCTCCCATCCAAGTATTTCATTCTTTGCCTTTAACAAGAGTTATTTTTCCTGAGAATGAGGGTGATGGAGGAAGGGAAACAAAGCCAACCTGCTCTGAAGACTGGCCCAAAGCTGAGCCTTCTCCACCGTTCAGAGTGAAAAACGAAAGTCCTGCCTCCAAAGAGACTTCAGTCTGTAGGTTAAACAACGGAAAAGCAGTACTCAGTGGTGAAATGAATACTTTTTCTGCTTATACGTGAAAGAGAGGTAATAAGGTAAGTAGTAATAAGTAGCAACTATTATCTTATTTGTGAGCAAGGAGCAGAAGGAGAGACAATATCAAGTTATATTTAACTTCAAGTCTGACTTATGAATTTTTGTTTTGTTTTTAAAGTTCTGGTAACTGCAATAAAAAACAGAATAGAGTGTAAATCCTCTCCATCTTCCCTATCTCTTCACTCTAGTCAAGAGTATTAAGAGCATCACCTTACACTTCTATCAAAATGCAGGATCAGGGCAAATGGTTTTCTCTCTCCCCATTTTTAGGTGCTTTCACATGTATGTGTGCTCACACACAAGTACTACTCCACCCAACTACAATGTCTTGTAGAGTGAGAGGTAGTTAAAAGTATTTAAAGTGACGTACTCATAGTTATAAACTTGGTGATAAAATAAGCTCTCCTTTTTCAATACTGCATATGTAAAGCCCTTATCACTTTCTTCTCACACACATATTAAAATGAACTGTTTTTAGGGAGGTTTGAGAGAGAAATTAATTCTATAATAAAAAGTAAAACTCAGTCCTTAGGAGTAAGATAATTTTAAAATACATAAAATACAAAAGCTTATTTTATATCCTATTTGTGTCTAGGTGCCTAAAATTGGATTACAGTATTGACTTAATACATCTAAATTTACTAAGAATCATTGAATCATATACTTAAAATGAGTGAATTTTTTGCTATATAAAGTATATCTCAATAAAGCTGTCTTTTAGGGTTAAAAAAAGTTATTCACCTTAGACCAGTGATTTATCTTATTATCAATGAGCAGATGAGTTGAAGATTTTTCACTTTGATTAATCTGAAACAACATAAATGATATAGAAAACTTAATCTTCACAGATAAACTTAAGTCTTTTGTTTAAAATGGATAAAAACCAAGACTTCTCAATGTTTTCCTTTTTAAAAGTATGTACACGTTTCCCCCTAAGATGTCATATATAGTTTCCATGACTAAATCACTTAACTTTTCTTGGATTTAGGTTTGAAAAGAACAAAACACATGGAAAAGAACTTGAAGTATTTGGATTTAAGGAACTATATTTAAGACTGAAATTTGGCTCTTTTTTAAAGAAGAAAAGTTAATTTGATACATATTGCATTTAAACATTAAATTTAAAACCAGGAAAGAAAAAAACAAGCATTACCTTAGCATTCTTTAGCTTTTCTCTTACTTTGCTTCTGAACATTTCTATTGTGTTTTTATTTTCTTCTTCTGCATCTAAACCTATCAAGAAGCCAACATAATATAGATCTCATGACACTTTTGAAAATAACTAAACAGCAATAGCAGCAAAAGTACTTATTAAATAGCTAAACTGCATGCATTTTTAAGGATCGTGATAATTATGAAGACTGGGACATTGCTGCATGAGGGCTTAGAACCTCAAATAGATGTCCCTTCCCCCCTTTCCATCTGGAGTAAATACTGTTATATATGCTCAGGACTGGATTTTGTTTCTCCTACCTGTGTGTTCTCAGCTATTGGCTACAATCCTTTGTTGTAGTTGGGCAGGGGTGAGGGGGGATACTTAGAAAAGCAAACCTTTATCTTTTTCCTTTTGGGAAAAAAATCTGTAAGAACAGTTATATTCTATATAGAATATACAAATATACTCTCAACAGAATATACAAATATCAAAAATAGGTTACTTCAATTTGATGAAACTGGAGAGGAAGGAATCTAAAAGGAAGAGATAAGTTTCTAGGTACCAATTAGTCAGTTTTGTAAAATTTGAGGAGCCCTACTTCCGAAAGCTTTGAGAATGAAACAGTCTTGTAGGGTATAAAGAGAACTCCGGCTGTTGTATGCACCCCAAACTATGTGTTATTTCCTACTCCTCCGCTAGATGATCCACCAGATGAACTGAGAAAGACAGGAGTTGAGCAGTCCTAGGTATAGCAGAAAGTGGAGGACCTTTTGGTCATTTTGCCTTGCATTTTTCTGTTTCTTCTCCCTGCTTCTGACTAAAGGCTGCATAGAGGATGGTGGAAATAAATGGTAAGAAAAAGCTAAATAACTATAGGTCATAAGAATCTTCATTCTTAACTGCATTATTTCCTGGTATAATTTAAAAATGACTATTTGGTTTGTTTATACTCTATTCCCAGAACTTAGAATGGCAGGGGACATATAATATGTGTTCAGTAATGGTGAATGAACTAGGATTCAACCCTTATTTATGTATTTTTCTCGAGATCTAGAACTTCCTGAAGCAAGTTCTACATCTAGCATCTTCATGGTGTAACAGTCTCAAACACTTGTAGATTCTCCATGTTTGCAGAGAGAGAGAAAATAAAATCTTAATAAAAAATTTCATCACATATATAGACTTTACTAATTATTTCCTTATGCCCATCTTGTATTATCTAGGAAGTTTAGTTTCTATTTGAACTCATCTCTTAATAAACTTGTATTCCCAGCTGAAACCCTATGATAGCATTAGTCATTTACATCTTTTTAAAATAAAAACCACAGCATCAGAATTATGGTATACTTATTGAGGACCTTTTTGAAGATGCTTGTCTACATTTTCTTCTACTGCAATATTATCTGTCTCTTCAGACATCTGCAAAAAAAGGGGGGTGAAAGTTACCTTGCATCTTTTTGTTTTGGCATTGAACACCTTTTCAAATGTTTATCATCCCTTTGAAAGTCATCTCCTTTAAAATGCCAATTCATAGCCTTTGCCTGTTTTCTTAAATTTCATCTTTTTATCAGTTGGTATGAGCTCTTTATATATGGTGGGCTTTTAATTAAGAAGTTGCTCTCTGTAACATCAAAAAGGACCTTTTCAAAAAAATTTTTTTATCCTCACCTGAGGATATGTATATTGATTTTAGAAAGGGAGCGAGAAGGGGGGTGGGGAGGGGAGAGAGAGAGAGAGAGAGAGAGAGAGAGAGAGAGAGAGAGAGAGAGAGAGAAACATCTATGTGAGAAGGAAACATCGATTGGAATCGAACCCGAAACTTTCTGCTGTATGGGACAATGCTCCAATCAACTGAGCCATCCAGCCAGGGTTCAAAAAGGATCTTTTAATAATAAAATCCAATGGTTAGTTCTTAGTGATCATATATTGCCTGCTTCATATACCTTTTAGGAGGTTCAAATGAGGTCAGACATATGAAAATACTTTGAAACTCAATGCTGTATCAGTGTTAGCTTTTATCTGATTACATGGCAGCATCTGATGTTGGGCACCTTTATTATCTGAAAACGTTGTATATCCTTGACTTCTACCCTCTTATCTCTCTGGCCACTTACTCCCAGTATCTTCAAAGGTCACACTTCTCCTCACAGCTTAAATGTGGGTTCATTCCAAGGCTTTAGAGAGTGCATGCATTCCCATGGCTTCCTAAATCTGTCTCCAACCTGGACTGTTTTGGAATACCATATTTCTAGCTGCCTATTAGTATTTGTAATTGAATGTCCTATCATTATCAATATGCTAAAATGAGAATATATTGCATTTACCATTTTTAAACCTCAATATTCTAAAATTAAACCATACTAGCAATGTTAAATCCTTATTTAGAATGATATGGATGAGTCTGTTTTTCATGTTAAGTTTAAGAAATAGAATAGTAAAAGACTCCTTAAATAACACCTGTACATGCTAACCAAACTAATGTGTAGTTGGAGTGGAAAGAGCAAGCAGACACACATCAGCTTTCCCATCACAGTAAAGATATGGATTCGTGTCAAAAGCCAAAGCAGAGTATTGACACAATCCTAGTAAAGACATTACTATCACAATAAGAACTCTGCCTACACACTTTCTGAAAGAACTTCAAAATCCACCAGTAGCTCCTGTACCATTCTTAAGAACTAATGAATAAGGTCAACATGAACTAAGATGTTCTGTTCTTATTAAACCTTCAGTATCTTCTTCAACACAATTAAAAATACCCAATTCTATTCTTGCCCAAGAGACAGTAACCCTTGAAAGTATGATGAGATATCAACCCTGGCAAGTGATTGATAGAGGTCTCCCTTTAATTCCCAATAATCTTGCCCAGCATTCCCAGGATTTATAACTTCCAATCCCCAGCGAGAAGTAGGGATAAATGTGCAACTTCATATACATGAACAACAGTTTGGTGATTGCAGTGGGGGAGATGGGTGGAAGTGGAAGAGGGCATAGAGGGGATAAATGGTGATGGAAAAATAAAATAAAATGAATCTTAATTGGATTAAAAGACATGTAGATCTCAGTCCTAAACGTATATGTTTCACTCACTGATTAAAAAAAGAAAAACATTTTATTTTTAGCAAAGCATAAATGGATTGCTGACTGGCTGAGAAAAGGTAAAATTAATATTTAAGTAAGGGAATAAATAGTATATACATAAATAACTCATTTCTAATGTTCTTTATTACATAACAGACAGATCAAATAATTCATCCCTAATACCTCTTATTTACTCTTTTAACATATGTATGTATGATTTATGTATAGAACCAAATACATCACATTTTTAGGATTATACTACATTGATAATTGGGCTATTTAGTATCATGAAAATCCTTATAAGCTCCATTAATACCTTACCTTTTTAATATCTTGTTTTCTCTTTGAGATCTTTTTCATGATGATGGTTCTTTCATTTCTAAATAAATAAGAAATAGTCTTAAGAATGATAGAGCATATTACTGAAAGAAAACTATTATGCTTGAGATAAAAGTATGTTATTTAAATTTTTTAATTTAACTGAAAATTAAATAAAGAAATATACTCTCACCTTTAGTAAACAGTAGTTGATCACCTTTAGCATTTAATAGAAATTCTGGTTACTGCAATAAGACATGGAAAAAGAGAGGTATAACTATGGGAAAGGAGAAGACAAGACTATCCTTATCTGTCGAAAAAAGACAAGAAAACATAGAAAACCCAAGACACTCAATGAAAACAGCTTAGACATAATTAGAAAGTTGTTAGTAGCAGAATTTATGCCAAAGTTAATAGCTTCCCTATATGCTAACAGAAAAAGGTCACTTCATAATAGCAATATAAAACATTTTTCAAATACCTAGGAGTAACTGTAGGGAGCGGCTATAGGGTTAAGCTTCAGACTAACGGTTAGTCACTAACCTGTTGGCAAAGCCACAAACAAGACCCAGCTTAGAGGGCACAGCCCTCTTAGCATAATTAAGCTTGACCTTAGAACGTTTCCTAGATCCTTCCTAGGTAGCTAATGGGCTGTGGGAGGTGCAGCAAGTGCTGCCAAAACAAGTGAAACTCACAAGAACATTGTAACTATGGTGACCACTACCTTGTTTACCTCTGGCTATAAAATAAAGGCTCAGCTTGCCCTCTGGGTCTCTCTCTGTGGCCTCAGCCAGGCACTGGAGATCCACCTAGAGTCCTAGACCCAGCTTTTTCTCTTCTCTTTGTCTTTTCTTCAATACTTTGCTGCCCCCCCCCCCCCCAACTCACCGAGCCCTTGGCCCGGCCCAGCACAAGTAACTGTAATTATAGTATGTGGGAGCCTAATTGCCCGTTTATTTTATTACTGCTTCAATTTCATCAGTAGTTACCAGCCTATTCAGGTTTTCTGATTCTTCCTGATTGAGTTTTAAAAGGTTGTGTTTTTCTAGTAATATGTCCATTTTGCCCAGGTTGTCTCATTTGTTGGATTAAAGTCATTCATAGTATTTGTTTATGATCCTTTGTATTTCTGTGGAGTCATTTGTTACTTCACCTCTTTTGTTTGATTTTGTTTGTTTGGTTTCTATTTGTTTCCTGGTTTGTTCATAAATCTTGTTTATCCTTTCAAAGAACCAACTCTTGGTTTTATTGATCTTTTGTATTTTTTTTCCCCTCTGTGTCATTTATTTCCGCTCTGATCTTTATTATTTCATTCCTTCTACTTATTCTGGGTTTTTCTTGTTCTCTTTAAGTTGTAGCGTTAGATAACTTATTACCAGTCTTTCTTGTTTTTTGAGGTATG